TATTGAAGATTGCTATGATTCGATGAAAATGGTTTACAATAATAACAACCATGTATGTATGTAGCGAATTAACAACGATATCGAATCTATCAAATCTTCGATTTGCTCGATGAAGTCATACCATTAATAAACAAAAAATCGAGTCAAAGAAAAAGAATATCAAAATTAAAAAAATATATCAAATGCTTAAAATACATGGTGATGATGACATTAAACTGAATGAAAACAAACGTGCATTGCAATGTCATGATGAATGTTGCAAGATGAGTATAAATGTATATGTATATGTATATAAATGTATATAGGTATATAAGTGAAATCTATGCACTCGAAATTTTCCATATTCTTTTTTGAACTTTTCGATGTCACTCCTTTCAGCGTTTACAAGATCGTCCAAAATTTTTTAAATTTGTAGGTAGCTCGCATGATCGTAAAATGAGCTCTCTCGAATATATAACCTTATTTCGTTGATGTTTTTGCAGATAGTCCAGCCATCTCGATATTTTTCGACGTTTTCGCCCAATAAGACTTTAAAAAAATACTGGTACTTGATAAAACACTCAAAACATTGACTGAGTACCAGTACGCATACAAACGGAACAGTTAATTTTTTTCTTTTTGTTATTTTTAAGTTTGGGGTCAATGTGGTTGAAGGATGTTCTCTTCTTTCCTCTTTCATACATAATGTGTTTATATTAATTTGACGATAATAATGTAACTGTTTGCTAATCCGTCTAATATAGTGCCATTGTCAACAGATATTGAAATTTTTGCATCGGTTTGTATATATTAAAGTGTCGAATGGCTGAATGTTTCCCACAAAGAACTTTGGTGACGAAAACCCCAATTTGACTTAGCAAGGTCCCTTGCTGAAGTCAAAACCTATAACAGAAGCGAATTTGTATATTTTTTGATATACTTTTTGTTCATTGCATCTGGGTCTGATGTGTCACTAGAATCGTAATCATTAACAAGAAGTCTACCAGAAAATTGTTGTGGTAATAGATTCAGTAATTTTGCACATTCATTGAATTTGGTATTTAACCGGTTTAAATTGACAGCTTCATCGTCTACTGTAGCAGTTTTAGAGTTAGTGATTGTTTTGTCATTTGTGTCATATTTGTCATCTCGTCCAAGAAAACTCAGAAACCCATTTTTTTTTCCAAATTTCGACTGCGTCAATAAACAATTCAATATAAATTTGATGGGGGATTGTCTATGTCGATTACTGGAGTAATCAACAGTGCTTTCATCTCTTGATCAGTTTCAGATCTAATTGATTTTTGACTTGACCATATGTTGCGCAATCGCGATTGTAAGTACCGGATGACTAATCTTGGCATGTGCTGCTGATATAAATTCGTCGACAAATCGTATTTTAAATATCTACCATTGTCTGCTTGCAATTTGTCACAGTAATGAATTGACAAATGATTTCTCAGATAATTATTAGAAATGACGTAATTTGAGTTTGCATCTACATCTTTTAAATTTATCACTTTGTATCGATTTTTCAACTCGATATTTCTATTTTTTTCAAGACTGGACGAGTTCGAGTTCGAATAGACAAAAACTGGTTTTTTTTAAAATATCAATTGACCTATCAATGGTATTCGGTTCCAGCCTTTGCTTTGAGGCATTCCTCAAAATTGACCTGAATAAGATCTTTTTTTTGATCTGAAGAAGGTCTATTTTGAAGACCGCTTCCAAAACCACCAGGTCCTTTTTTACTGCTATTGTAACTAGGCGGTCTGTTTTGAAGACCATGACCAAAATCGTCAGAACCAGTCAATGCTTTTGAGACAAGCGGTATACCAATCGATGCTAACAATGTGCCTAAGCCTCCATTCTGCTGCTTTTTGGGTTTAATAATCAATATCCCACCACTTTGAAGAGGTATCATGATGTCTTCTTTTTGTTTTTTTGTTAGAAGATGTTGATATTGACGTAAATTATTTGTTTTATTTGGAGGAATCATAAACTCACCGCTCTGCGACAATCCATTACCAAATAGCTTATCGACTCCGAATGGTGATACCGCACTCAATGTTCCTGTTTATAGGTTATAAATATATGTTGAACATCATTGATGTATTTTCGAAATTTGCTTGAAGCATCTCAATTAAATATAAAACAGGTAGTACAATCACTGAATCATTCAATGCTATTCGAAAATCAAAACAAAAACCTAAATTCACATGGGTCAATCATGGGTCTCAATTTTACAATAACACTTTTAAAGACTGGTTGGAAAAAATCACGATATCAAGATGCATTCTACTGAAAACGAAGTTAAGGCTGTTGTTATCGAGAGATTCAATAGAAAAATCAAAACAAAGATTTGGAAGCAGTTCACAACTCAAGGCAGTACTATTATTTAGAGATTGTGCATGAAATATTAAAATGATATAATAACACAATACATAATTCAATCAAAATGACTCCCTTAGAAGCCAGTAGAAAAAAAGGAATTTTTTAGTTGAATCTATGTGGTGATATGGAGAGATCACCACCAAAAGCTAAATTTAAAAGAAGTGACCAGGTTCGAATATCATAGTATAAGAGAAACTTTCAATAAAGCATATACACCGAATTGCAAATATGAAATATTCACTGTTGATGATGTACAATATACAAACCCGATCACTTATAATATAAAAGGCGTAAAAAATGAAGATGTAAAAGGATCTTTCTATGAATCTGAATTATTGAAAGCCGAACAAGACGTATTCCGCACTGATCAAATAATTCGAAGAGATGATAAGAAAAAACGAGCTTTGGTGAAATGGAAGGGGTATGGTGATGATTTTATTGGTTGGATCGTAGTAAAAGACTGTAAAAAATGCTATGTGAGATTTTGAGCGTGAGAAAACGCCATAACAGCACCAGAAGTTCTAAATAATAGCTTCATGGTAGTAGGAGTATATGGATTTCCACTGATCAGGACTTTTTCAAGGTGTAGTGGCTTCTAAAGGAGCCGTTTTGAAGTTCAATGTTGTCAATTTGGAAGGTCAATGTTGCTTCTTCGCAGCCTTCTTGGGTAGCAGCACGGCTGGTATGTTGGGAAGAACACTACCCTAAGCGATCGTTACACCTGCTAGACGTTTGTTTCTTCAGTTATTTGTCGTTTCGGACGGCCAGGGATCGGCTTTTCTTTTGATATCCTCTGACAAAATCGCCTTAATAACAAGCGCTTAGCGATGTAATTGGTTATCTAAAATTTGTTTGTGATTGGCTGCCGTGAATTTCTTTCTTCGTGTGAGGCGGAAAGCAAATCTTATGCAAGCCTGACCTTCAAATTTTCCCAACATTCAAAACTTCACTCAGTTTTCAGCCTCTCGCTTTCAAAGTGTACTTTCGGAAATGCAATCTTTTTTTCCGTTACCGCGATGGATGCGGTCTATGCCCTAAAATGCCAAGACCGTACCTTATACGAATTAGGAGGGAAAGTTTCTAAAGAATCTGTGGTGCTGCATCGGTGGGAGAGTACAATAAGGTCATTTGGTATTATCAACTGAGTTAATAATGTAAATTGGCCACCGTTAATGAAAGATTCGCTCTGACGAAGGGCTAACGCTCGAAACGTTAGCTTCGAAACTCTGAGCGGTGGCCAAGTTACGTTATCAACTGTGAGAGATCCAGTCACAGTGACAGAGAAAATCAATGAGAAACTCACAGTTACAGTATTTTTACAGCCACAGATACCTTTACAGAGACATTGAGAGAAGGGCAGAGAAACCGACAATGATATTTACATTGACAGTAACAGAAACAAACACTCTAGCAGTACAAGAGACAGTAAGAGTGAGAGTGATGATGAAAGAGAGAACGATAGAGACCTACCCTAAAACTGGAGTCTTTCCCCAAATACTAACACTAACACTAACCCTCGTCCTAACTATAACTATAACCATGGCAAGGTAGAGCCTTTGATATTTTTTTAACCCGGTTCTATCTCTGTTGGGTAGTCAGTCCTATTTACCAGGGTTGGTATCTGAAGGCAGAGCCTTGCACTTTTCCTCAGGTTCTCCCTCTTTTGGGCTGAGGGCAGAACCTTTAATTTTTTTATTCTGGTGTTGTCTCTCCTTGGAAGCCGGTCATCTTGGACTGTACGTTTGTACCGTTAGACGAACCAGATTTGAGTTGGTATTTCCACAAAATGAACATCACTTTGCTCTGATTGTACAATTGGTTGTCTTTACAGGTCAGTGATTTTTACTTAACTAATGGAGAAGCGCGTTAACAAAGTCATCTTGTTGTAAGCTAAAAGATTTTTGTTGTTACCATGACAATGACAGAAAGAGTGACAGTGGTAGTGACAGAGACAGTGACACCGACAATGAGAACGGTGACGGTGACAGTAAGAGTGACAATTACTATAATAGTGACACTGACAAAGTCAGCGAACAAGGAAAACTAAAGGTATATGAGAACTTAGTGTACAATTGGGCAACAACGAAAACATAAAGTGCACGAGATACTACCACTGCTACAAGATACTAATGAGGTGCCCCCTCCCATTGGCCCGGTGGCTTCCTAGGTCTCCTCGCCTTCTTTAAATTGTATTGCTATTGAAATTATTTTGTGTGTCGTTAATAAGGCAAATCATGATAAATGATGATGATGACAATCATGATGATGATAACAATCACGATGATGATGACAATCATACAAGGAAAGCTAAGATAGCGACAGATGCTAACATAACACTTGGACAACAAGGAAAGAAAATGCACGAGATACTAACGTAACAATTGGACACCAAGGAAAACAAAACATGCACACATTACCAAGGAAAACTGAAAGTGCGCAAGATACTAGTGTAACTATGGAAGAGAAATACAGCTTGCTGGCACTCAAAATTCAGTGGATTCAGTACACGCTAATGAAACGGCACGTTCACGTTTGAGATCAGGTAAAGTTTACTATGACTCTTACTGGTACAAATGTAGGGTACAAATGTAAGAAGTCATTCATATAATAAAACATCAATAGAGACAACGGAATCAAAAGACCTAAAGCATAGAAACATAGCAGTCAATTAGCAACTAAGCAGACCTATGAGGGAACGACATCTAACAACATCTACGACACCTACACGCCAGTAAAAACAAACCAAGGAGCGATAGAAAAACGACACTTAAACTTTCAACTTCTTTCCTAAATGAATACTAGCAGTAAAGCAACTGAAACGTGGCGATCGATACACGACTGATTAGCCCGACTCTTACATTGTAAGCCACATTTATCAATAAAAAAATATGAAGAACAACGTTTTCTATAATATACGAACATTGTTTAAGGTGGATGCATGTGTTACTTATAATTTAATAGTTCAATGGGACCTTGACCTTGGATGTCTGGTCGTATTTACGGTGAAATGTCAATATGGAAGGTTTGCTAACCTGTGTAAATAAACCAAAAAGGGTTGTTCGATCGATCGGTACCATCAGCTCTTTCTGAAAATATGCCTCTGCTGTTTTTACATGGGATAAAAAAAAATATGGGTGACAAACTCATGATTTCTGGCAAAATGACTAAAATTTTGGGTGACATGATTTCGGGTGAGATGACTTTCAGGCTATTTGACTATTTTTGCTCAAAACGGTTTTGTGAACTTTAAACATCAATTCTTTGATGAATCTCTACTACCACAACTTTTCGTGTGTTCTTTTAACCATATTCTTTTGATCATTTTCATGGTATTAGGTTGCCACAACAACTCTACATTATTTAAGAAGCAACCTTACTCAGAAACTAGTGTTACTCACAGACTAGTTTGGTTATCCCCATTTTATTGTCATTGCATTATAATCAGCCAGTCAATATTCACCTTTCTGTCAAGCTTGTCTGTAAAAACAATTCACAGGAACCTTAAATTATCATCCAAGTGATATTGCCTTGAAGTAAAATTCTAAAAAAACTGTTTTTCATTTCTATTGACAGTTCAAGGTAACAGGGTTTAAAAAGACAGATCTCTGCAGGATAACATAAACAGCTTGGTTATTTGATGCAATGAATTTCCAAGGTAGTCAGCATTAACTGAGTGTGTCAAGCTGATTCTGAATGGTTTCCAGCTTAAAGATAAAATATCAAACAAGTAAAAGATTATTAATTCTATCTTTTTAAGTTTGTTTTAGTAAATAAAAAACATAACCTTGTATCAAGTTTTCAGATGTAAACAATATTTCACATTAGAGCAGCCCAATGTTGGCAGAACTTCTTTTCAGGAACAGTGTAGTGACTTTGAGTATCAATATGTTTTGCTACTTCTCTCAAATTAGCCCTATTTACATCAGCCTTTTGAAACATTCCACCATCGAAATCACAATTCATTGATAGTTTGCTGGCACTTCCCCAAGTAAAATAAAGTGTAAAGCAAAGAGTCTGATGCATGATTACACCCACTAAATGATTTCTTCATCCAAGTAAAAAGGGAAAGCCCAAACAGCAATAACATGAGTGTAATTAAGACCAAGAGTATGTGAAAAAAAACTTGTCCTCGCATACCTGATTGTAAAAAGCATAAAGTTCTCCATGAGTAAATTCTAAATGGACTTGTTCTTCACTGCACTACAAATAAAAAAGGAAATAACTTAAATCAAGTTGCTAGAGCAGATCACAATAATTGTGATTATAAAGAATAACTTTACCTGGCTTCCTGAGGAAAGGTTTAGTTCAAACATGGCATTTGGGAGTTTCATCTTTGTCATACTGCTTTGTGCCATTTGAAGGTTTAATCTCCAATTTACTTCTGACAGCTATAAGAAACAAAAAGTGGATAACTCATCAAGTTTCACCTCAAAGTAGGTTCGGTGCTTGAGGAGCCTCTCAATCAATGGATTGCCTTTCACCCTTTCAAATTCAGTCTGCTGCTGAGGTTTCCAACATTCTATCTAAAGTGGGACAGCTTCCCAGCTAAATATTTGACACTTTTGAGCTTACAAGGCCTCCACAAACTAAACCTAGGTCTACCATAGGCAGTCCAAGTTTGTCATGTGAACTTCAACTTAATAAGCTATTCCATGTTACTGTTAAACAACATACACACACTACCATCCTCAAATTAGAACTTATACTAACATGAGTACCCCTTTCAAACAAGTGTCCCCTCTTAATGGCTGAAATGTTTAAATAAGTGTTTCCCCTTGAAAATGTGCCCTGTCCCCTCTCCCTGTGTTTTTGAAGAAGCAATCACATTTGCTTAACTTACTAACTGCCTAACTGCAGTATTATTTGGATTGGAAAATAAATATTCTGCTACATGGTAAATTATTTTCATTTCGACAAGGTTACTGTTTTAACCAAATTTAGCAACTGCAGACACCTCATGATTACAATTTTGCTCAGGTCATCAGCCCACACAAACAAACTTCATTTCAAAGAAATGTACATTGAAATTCCTAAATTCACTGGCTGTAACCTTTTTAGAAAAAGAAATCCTCTAAAAGGATGTAGTTATACTGGCTATGTTTTTTTGTTACCAGCCTATGTAAAATGTAAAACCAAAAGTTGGGTAATCAGGTTGTAGCCAAAGAAAGCAAAGAGGAATTGCAGGAGAAATGTGGAAAACTGGTAAAGGTGAGAATATGATTGTTGATGAGAAAGGCCATGAGACATGGTTAATGAGCTTACTGACACTTTAACTCAGATATATAATGAATGTTTCCTGCTCATCAAAGTGAAAATATCATCTTGTGATCCTCCTTTTATGTCACCATTAATTAAACACCTGTGCAACTTAAGGAATAAAAGCATGAAGAAACATGGGCTCCTCAAAGACACCAGACTGCAGGAACTAAATACTAGTTTTCTTTAATTTCTTTCCACACAGAAATAGAACCAAGGGTTGGTGGGACACAGTCAACAACATATAACTGGCAAAAAAATCAAATAACCAAATTATCTAATCCATCATCAAACTAGAAACTATCAATTCCTATTTCAAAGAGGTCAACACCAGTCTGCTGCATACTGCCCCTGAACAACTTCCAATACCCAATGGAACTAGAATTCCCACTTTTGATGTTAATACAGTCAAATGGTTCCCGCTTAACCAGAAATGAACCTCTGCAGGCCCTGATCAACTACCCCATTGGTTATGGAAAGACTATGCTCACCACCTTGCAGAGATTATCACCAAGATATTAAACCACTCTATCATGCACCAGTCTGTTCCTACACTTTGGAACACTGCAAATGTCAGACCAATTCCAAAAGAGTCACCAATTACTGAATGCACACAACTCAGACCAATTTCTCTAACCAACACCATTAGGAGACTTTTTGAAAGGCTGGTGTTCAAACAAGAAATATCAACAGAATTTTGAGTCGATCATTAACATTAACCAATTTGGATTTAAGGAGGGGTGCAACACTACTCTAGCCCTCCTAAAATGGTAACATTTCTGGTTATCTGCAGTAGATCATGACTCTTACTATGTGGACTTGTTGTCCTTTGACTTTAGTTAGGCATTCCACACAGTATCCCACAAGAATATCTGTAACATTGCTTGTGACAAGCCAAAGTCTACCAACATAAACCCATATTGGACAATCGGAAACAAAGAGTAGTTGGTGACAAAGTGGTCACTGCCTTTGTTGACATTAATAGGGGGTTCCTCAAGGCACCAAATTAGGACTCATTCTATTTTCTCTTATGGTGAATGATATTACAGCTGTTTCTCCAATGAACAATCTCCTAGTGAAGTATGCAGATGACATTAAAATAAGTGTCCCTGTTAAGCAAAGCACGGATACTGCCCCTACAAATGAGATGTCTCTCTATTATACCAAAACATGGAAAATGTGCATGCGTGGCAAAACTACCAAGTTATCCCCTCCAGAATTACCAAGAATAAAAAAGAAATCATGCTTAAACTATTAGAAGTCACGTTTTAGGAAGATGCTGTGAACTGGGACATATATATTGACAAGATACTATCCAAAGCCAGCAGCCGAATGTACATTCTTAGGGTATGCAAATCCTATGGATATTCCAAAGATCAAGTCAATAATTTGTTTAACTTGTTTGTCATGTCCATATTCTTGTATAGGGTGGAAGTCTGGGGTGCAGCTTAACAGTGAAAATATCTAGACAGAATTGGCAGGTTTCTCAAGAGGGCCCACAGGTTTGGCTATACCACAAAGAAAACTACTATACTTGACTTAATTAAAGATAGGGACTCTATGCTTTTTAAGAATGTAATCAGTGATGATCATACACTTCATAATTTGCTACCTCCAAAGAGATGTTTGTTCCCTGAGTGCAAGCATGACTTTATATTACCTAGAGTTAAAACCGAACGCTTCGAGCATTGTTCCCTTAATATATGCCTCTTCAATTCACTTCACTGTATATAAGAAACTTCATATTTCATAATGTTACAATGCTACAATTTTTATATATTCTTAATTATACTTATAATTCTCTTAATGATATATTGTAAAGCTACACATTTGTTGTTTCTGATTTATTAAAGAAAAATTGAGACGGACACCTGAATTGCTAAAAGTAGCCAGTCATAGTACTTAATAAGTTAAGGTTCCATTGCATGTGAGCTACGGGGTGAGTCATTTGCAGACAAACCTTCACTATACTCATTCATACCCTATATACCACAATTAAACTATGACAAAATAAATGTTTCCTCCATCATATAAACAACCTGTTTAGGAGAAATACTTCTTTGCTTCAGCTTTTCTGCAACAGATTTTCCATTTGCAGTCCATAGATTCACTAGAGCTTGAACCTGGCAATATCAAGAAAAGTATTACTAACTAATGGGTACGAAATTTTATTTGTTTCTTCTTCCTGAAAACAAGTTATAGTTCAACACTTTCATACATTGTTCCAGACTTATGTGGAACCTCCAGTTTTCTAACTGTTGGTGATGTTTAACCAGAAAATAAAGGCTTCTTAAATTATATGTCACATGTTATAGTTAAGGAATAGACAACACTTTCTATCAGTTTACTGGCATAATAACCACCTCAAGATATTGGGAGAACATGAGAAAAGTTACTTCGGTAAACTGATAGAAAGTGTGATATTCTGCTTTTGTAAAATAAACTTAAAACAAAAGAAAGTATGCTTAAATTTTCCACAGAGTAACCAGCATGATAAATTGTAGGTTTTTGACCAATCACAGTGCTTGTGGTAAACTTTCTAATATCAGTGACTACAAGAGCTCACAAAACTGCTTCCAGATTAATAATTGAACTGACCTGGAATTATCAAATAGTACAGTACAAGCAATTTAATATAGTTTCCTTTGAAATGTAAATAGTGAGTGCTGCCCAATGAAAACACAAACATCTAAAAATTGGAAAGTTGTTCAGGGGTACAAACCTGTACTTTCACTTAAGGTTACCGTAGACCTTTAGAAGTATCTTGCAAAATTAGTTTGTACTCATATTGCTTTTCATAAAACCCTTTAAAAGTATATATCACCAAAACCTTAAAAAATGTGGAATCCAAAGAAATAATCATTTTAGAGATATGGTGTAATTATATGTGCAGGCAAGCTCTAAAGTAAAATATTGATGCTGTTTGATAAATTTTAATAACCCACTTTTATGTTTGCATGCACAACCAAACGAACTGCACAGTGTAAATCAACATTCAATATTCCTATCAGTTGCTGAGAAAATCTACTTTGAACTCTGCAAATGAAACATTGGCAATTTTTGTCAGATATGAAGGCGTAAAAGGAGAAGTCGGAATATCAAAAAGCCTCACACCCTTTGGCATTAATAGCCAGTTAGCATTTTGACCATGGTTCGTAAAAATTTGTATAATCTACATACCCTATTACTTCTCCTGAAGTTAGAGAATCTACATAAAACTAAAGATTGAGTTTTCCGATACTAAAATGTTACAAGCTTATCACACCTTATCAAAGCAGTTGTTATTGCCGTCATGTCCTGGACTGATGAAAACAGTGTTTTAAAGGATTTAAAGTTATTCTCAATTTTTAAAATACCAGAGCAACCTCTAGAAGTTACCTCGCCATCACTGAACTTCAGTACTCTGAATAACTGTTTTTGAATACAAAGAATCTAGTATACATGTAAGTGATGTCATTTACTAATCAACCATGAAAACCAACTTAAAAATATTTATCACACAAAAAGAATTCTAAGCAAATATTATAAACCAACAATTTTTGGTAGAAACAAAATACAAAAAGGGACCTTTGGACTGATGCAGAAAGAGTCTTTCATAGAGGGAAATGACAAAACACCTTTTCATCTGCTAATTGAATATCCAACAATTGCTGTGTCAAAAGTTGTGCTTTGGCATTGTGATATGCTGCCTACAAGACAAGGTAAAAGAAATCAAGAATAGAGTCATTCTAGTTTCCTTCATTATGTAAACTGTTGTCAGTGAACATACTGTAATGTAGTGCTATAACTAAAACTACAAATATAGAGCAATTTTTCAACTACAACTGCTTGTCAATGATTTCACCTGATGATACGACACTTTGAAATCCACTTCACTTTCCATCTGTTGTAATGACCATTTGATGTTGTTACAATAATCACATATGATTTTACATAAACAAAATGTTGTTCTGGTTTCAGCAATGTTCTTAGAATGCGCACATGCTCATTTGCATGCTAATACTGAGAAATCACATTAAGTCAATGATTAACTGAATTCCATTTCGCAAAATATATTTAGGTTACCTGTTCAAGGATAAAGGCTGCAGTTTCCAAAACCACATGAAGATCATTTGCCTCCAGTTCCAAAGCAACTTGAAGCTTAATTTCCTCCTCCTCTGAAAATGCTCTTTCATCCTAGGATTGAAATAGAATATTTTTTATAAGGCTTACACCTATCATTACATAAGAATTTGTGTTAGATTTGGCCAAAAGTTCTTTTTGACAAATAAAGACCAGTTACAAGAAAACATGGGTATAACTTAGCACAAACACCAGACCCTTAATGGGTTGCCTATGGCTAAATTCTGCATGGTAAGTAGCTAAATGAGGCCATTTCATTAAACAGTAGACCTTTCCCGCCAGGAGTTCGAAATTTCTTAGTCATGACTATCATATGAATGTAGAGGTCTGAAGTATAGTACCACTTGCATGTACCACAGCTTGAAACACCCTTCACACACATTCATGGGACTGCATGCCCGCAACATGCTAATGCACCTTGGTGTAATAAAAAATGCATGCATGTCAAATGCATGCCAGTTAATTAGAGCTCATTGAATGCAAGAAAATGTATGTGTAATAGGAAACAAAGATTGAATTCACAATTCTTTGTTATATTTCCAACAAGCTTGAGCAAGTCACAACACTTACTTTGTTTTCTTGTGAATTGAAAATTTGTTTTAAGAATAAAAAAAGATTACCTTGCACTACCTCAGCTTTTCTTCCAATAGCTTTTTTCCGGTCTCAAAAGCAGAATTATTGAACACTGAATGAAGTTTTGGAAGTAAGAACAAACAAATTATGAAGTGCTCCACTGACTCCTACATTGACAACACAATCATAATTGCTTTAAGGAAAAAATCAATTTGTTCTGCCTCCATAATTTTTTGCCTTGAACATCACCCAATTATTCCTTAATGTTTGCTAACTAAAGTGCAATTTCAGAATGCATAAAAATAACTCCAGATATTCCTCAATTAACAAAAAAGGACAAGGTTTGATTAAAATCATTGACAATCAATCGAATGAAAGACTCACAAAGTGAACACAAGAGAAGTACTGTTTATCTTGCCCTCTTTTGAGAACTTGGCTGCCTTAAGGTGATTCCTCAGTTTTGCACTGCGCATCCTGTGCGCATAAAAATCACATAATCAGGGGAATGAGCACACGCGTATTCCAAGAACAGGGTAGTTTTTCAATCCCTGGACCAAGTAAAGAGGTATGTTGGTCTTCAGCTCTTGAATGGGCAGGGTGACCTACATTTCTTATTTCATAATTTTGGCGAACAAAATATCTCATTTAAATGAGAGAAATTAAAAAAATCATCAAAGGGAAAATAAGATATACCTAAGAGGCCTGCATGAAGCCTATTACTCAAGGATGCATATCATGACCTTGAGAGCAGTGACTCAAGAAACAGTTTAAGTCAATGTCATTTCAAATTGCATAATTTTTCTATTTAGAATACATCAAATTATTCTATACTCTCAAGAATTTATACCAATCAAGTTTGTTTCAAGTGTTACTTTAAAATCCCTTGCTTCCAACTTCCACAAAATGCTCAGTGAAGCCATGAAATGATGTATGTACATGTAATTAGCACTGGTACCAGCATAATTAGGATAAGTTTGGCCCATCACAACTCTTAAACAAGCATGGTGACCTATCTTTTTTATTGTATTCTTTGAAATGAACACTGGTGGGGAACATTTAAGGACTACAGTTTGAAAAAATGTTCAATAACTTTATTTTCTGAAGAATCACCTTAAGTATTTGTGCATGGCTCTAAGACAATCGATGTTGGCTACAGGAAATAATGTTATGCATCTGGTGCAGATCAAATGGTGCCTTGCTGTGAACTTCAATCATGGAATGTCTGCCATGACCTGGATTGATTTATAACGCTCTACTTCCTGCTCCTTCATGCATTTCCATAACAGTAGTTGGTGTTCTTGAGATAATAGTGCAAGTCACTTAAGTTTTTTGACAAGCTACATTAAATTTGTTCTGCTTCATCCAACTAACTTCCCAGCACTCAAATTATGTCAATGAAGAAAGCAATTACTCTTCTCTGATTACAATGCCAAAGAACTTTTCATGCAGTAAGGCTCATTCACATAAGGGAGCAAGTTATGATCAACTTTGCATTTTTCCATTATTTAAGAAACAGCACATCAATTTAAATACAAATTTCCCCAGTCATAGCATTTTTGTGAAAAACTACACACAAATTCCCACTGTGAATAACAAAAGACAAATTGAAATACACACCTTTGGTGTGCACATGTGTAACTTTTCTACTGAAAGCTCATTAACACAAACTCCCAAGCAGATGTAATTCATATCTATTACATAAGCTTGATTGGCATGGGTGCTGTTACAGAACATGCAAGTGGTACTTTAGGTGAAGTGGAAAAAAGCTTTGGCCAGGATAATTATGCAAAGTTCTTGGTCACAACACTTTATTATCACAATCCCTGTCTTCACCCAGCAGTATACAACATGCAAAATGCGTACCACTGAACTCTCAAAAAAAATAAATGATGGGCACTTCTTTGAAAGGAAAACACCATCCAGGATGAGAATGGATATTTGTTTTAATTCATACTGTTGCAGTGAGTGGGATACGTACTTGCAGCCAAGGGCAAAACATTACATAAATGCCAGTGAAATAGAATTTTAGAATGAAAAGGCAAAGGTCAAGTGTTGTCATCATCAACTAAAAAATAAAATTAATAAATTAAAAAACAGGGTTATGATAATCAAATTGTAGTCCTCAACGATTTTAATAAACTGTTGCTCTCAACTAAACACATGCATGTCAAGTTGAGACACTGACCCTCAAATGAAGCTTTTGTACAATTCTGCTAAGCAAAAGACGAAACTTGGCAGTGTCTAAGCCATTTATTAGTTCAACTGCTTTCTTTAACCTGTGGAAAAAAGATATTTAAAGAAATTTGGTGATGTGAATCATTTTATTTTAAGTTTTTAATACAAAGTAAAATTGAAAATAAAAATAAACTTTAGCTTCACTTCAAGTGAAGCAGTGAATCTGGTTTTTTATGAATGTAAAAGTGAAGTGAAGTCACACCTCAAAGTAATTTTTTTTTTGGGGGGGGGGGGGGGAGAGAAGGAGGATTGTGTGGAATTCAGGAAGAAAAGGGTGTGGTCATTTGTCCCTGGAATTGCTTGATTGCTTTCATCTGGACAGAGATTTATTATTTTACAGTAGGATTTGGAACACAATTAGTAGAAGTAGAAACATGGTTTTTCACCCCAGTGCACTTTCCCCATTTGCATTTCAACTGTTTTATGCCTGAAATTATTAAATCTTCCACAACATGAAAGGTGACATCCATTTATTTGAGAACCATTCCATTCAAGTTGACAAATGTAGAGTCCTATCATCAGTTTTTGTTTTCTTTTGATCAATCATGGGCCCTAAAAATTGAGAAAATTCCTTGTTTTTTTGCCACATGCATGGCAGCCATGTGGCTACTGTAACTATTTTTGGCAGTTGAAACACAAAATGTTCGCCCAAATATGGCTTTTTTTGTATCAAGACACTTTACAATTGTGACATTTCCAGAGTATGCCAAACAAGCACCCATAACAGTGCCTTCAGGTGCAGCTTGTTTGGTGCCTCCTCCAATATTGCAAAACGTAATTGCATCAAAGTCCAAGAGGAGAAGAATTGAAACTACAAGCAAAAGTAAAGCACATAACCATAGGGTAGTACTTATATTTTCCAAGCAACAAGCTCTAATCAAAACTGGAAAAACCTCATTTACCTGCTTCTTTAAATTTTCAAAACAAGGCAACCAGAGCTCTTTTCCATGGCAAGAAGCGCTTTGAATTTCATTATGGTATGGTTTTGTATAAATAGATCGATATGTCAGATATGTTACCATAAGACAAACCATATGAACCACACACACATTTATTCCAGCATTGTATCTCCATTTTTCTTCAAAATTCTTTCTTCAAAATAAAACGAAATCTGTGTAACCTATATTAAGCAGTCAACCTGTATTTGGTGGTCACCCCACCATTCCTCATAGGAACAGAGACGGTACTGTCTTTCCACAACCTCTACTAATTTCATTCAAAGGTGACAAAAATGAAGGTAACTTTTTGGTCATTTCAAACTAATTACCAACCTGGAACTTTCAAATGCGCTTGCTCATGATGCAAAACTTGTCCTTTCATTCCAATGTAGAGAAAATGTTCAGACATGAGAAATCCATTGAGATCACTGATCACTTCACATGCACCTCCACCAATGTCATCTAATGCATAACTTGCATTTATTGCAAAAAGTTATACATTGGTGAAACAGGAAGATGACTAGGTGGCTGATTACAAGAACACATTCACAAAGTAGAGAACATATGACAAGGACACATCAAAACCAGTCCCTAGGCACCTACATCTCCCAAATTATTCTATGCAGTATACCGCTGTTTGTGGCTTTTCCCTTCTTCTAGGCAGTTCAGAAAGTCCCATGGTATCAATAAGCACTTTTCATTCAACTAATTTATTCTTGTTTTCTCAGCACCATATTCCCACCAATAGATTAGCTCCATTTTCTTTTTTTTCCCAAAGAATAATTTCTTGATGGTTCCTTCAAGTACTAGTGACAAAAGGGGTGCTTGCAAAGACTTGAATAATGTCTGAGAGCCAAGAAGTAAACCTCTGTGTTGAGAGAATGTCGTAACTCTGGCTGTAGCATCCATGGCATGTAAAATAATCTCTGCATCTACCCCCTCTTGTTTGCTTTGGAGCTAAGAAAATCTTCTCTTGTTCCCATGCATTCTGGCCTCCTACTACAACTACTCATCCCCTGTTTTGCTGGCCAGCCTTGATGGTCTTCTGTGCTTCTTTGCCTTTTTGCCCCTTTGTCCATGTATCTCTTTTTAGAGAAGATGGCAGACTATATCGGCCAAAAACCAACCGGACTCCCTTATTTTCTCTGAAGGTCTTGAAAATGTGACTAACAAAGTAATTTAGCTGCATCCACCACAGTAACTCTCGTGTATACTTGTGTACTTTGGTTGACAGCACTGTTGTTGTCTTCATTTAGGTTCATGTGTAGTTTCACTAAGATACCAAATAGGGCACTCTTACATGAGCAGCGAAGTAATGTTCCATTAGCTGCAAACATTGATCTTGGCAATAAGGAAAACTCGTAAGTACCAACAACTTCTTAGTATCAATCTCTGGCCAAATCTTGAATACGATTATCACTCTTGCGAAGAGGTTCCTGTTCTTGTGCAGTGCCACAATGTTGTTTTCAACCCCTAATTTGATATTTCTGCAGGCAGTCTTCCAAGTGGAAAGCTTCTATTTCTACATAAGGTCCTAGAGATTGACTTTCTCCAAGGGACAGGGGCAGGGGGAAGAGGTGGGGGTTTGTCTGATTTTTGCTGCATCATGATAATTTACCTGATCCCTCAAGAAGCTCTGTGATTAAGTTATCCCTCCCTCGTTGGCAGTTAATTGGCAGTCAATTATCTACAGGCTCCCCTTTATACTCTATTGGTAACAATGGATTTCCCCTTCATTCCCCCTGAATTTCTGAACCTGAACTTAAAATTAACATCTATGCTGTTTATGAAGAATAGCAAAGTATTTTAAACATCATAGGAAGGTCAAAAGAAATTTTTGTAGCCCAGCCTCACTTCCATGCTCATTAAGTCATGTGACAAATCTTGTGACTCACAGTTACTAAATATGTGTTTGAGACTTCAACAAAATCATAGATTTATATCTTTGGTTCTATTTTGGTGCTATTTTCCTATAATAAACGAAAATAAAAGATGTTGCATGAATAAGCCTCGTTTTCATGCAAGATCCACAAGGGTATTTCTGAAACAACCTCTAAAAAGCGTTCAGTGGCAACACGACTTTTTGGTTGTTTAGGGTCCCCTGAACATATCTTGTGCAGTGGCTTGCTTTCAACAAGAAATTCCCACGGGAGTACAAACGCTGCCAAACTAAAAAGGGCCCTGCGACTTTGCGAGAGCATTCACCTATCACGGGTTTACCCATGTAATCAACGACTTTAGTAAACGTAAGATGAGCGAAGTGACATGGTGCAACAAAGCTAAAAACGATGTGAGCTTCATATAGAGGTATAACCTTTTTATAGTTAACTTATACCCCTAACTTAAGCTGAGTAGGTTAAAAGCTAAAAAGTGCCTAAAAGTACCTTAAAGTTGCTTGAAACATCAGTGCCATTTTGAACAGTTTCTTCTCCGTCTTAGTTACACAGACGAAGCCTGGGCACTAGTTGCGTTTTGAAAAACCTAAAGTTCATCATGGCTGACGACAGGGAAGGAGAAAATGGGAAAATAAATGTTGTTGTAAAAACTTCAAAGAACAAAGAAACCATTGAAACAGAGGCAACTGCAACTATACTGAAGGTATTATCTTGCAATTGATAACTTAATTCAAAGTATTTTTGATAATCTTCTTGCTTTTTTTTCTAGTTCAAAGAACTGGTCTCCATCAAATTCAATGCTCCAGTACATCAGTTGTGTCTTATTTTCGCCGGTCGAATTTTGAAAGACGGGGATACACTGGCTTCTTATTGTGAGTCTTTTCATTTCATCGTTGACAAATTATATGTTCGAATCAGTGTGAGGGATTTCAATGTTCTAACTTTCTGGTTTTTATTTAATTTGCAGCAATAAAAGACGGCTTTACGGTTCATCTTGTTATCAAGTCGGATAGGGTTAGTTGAATCATTTTTTTACCCTCTGGAAAGTTCGTATTATTTTATTATCGTTTGAGATATTGCAATAAGTAGTTGGGTAATCAGAAAGTAAAATATTTCATCTGGATTGATCAAATCAGCCTTTGACTTTAAAGTAATTGCTTTTTGGCAAGAAAGTGTGATCATTTTTAGATCTTTCTGTTATGTAAGCCATTTTTTATTTAATTCGCTGTTTGTTTGGTGAAAACGTTTCCAAATTTGTGGCATGTTGTATTAATTGAAGTATCCTCCTTGGTATGTCTTTATTGGTATGATCTTTGATTTAATTAAAGAAACTGTTCAGAAACTGTTCAGCATTAGTAGAAAACTAATGATGGAAAACTCAGAGCTCTTAAGTCGATTTGCTAGCAAAGAGTGATATATTTCGCTGCACTACCTTGGATTGTGACAGGGTGGGTATCACCTTTAGGGGGTGAGGGGGGTATGGGGCCATATTCCACTGAAAAATTATGAAAAAAATTAAGTAGCTAAGACATGCACTCCTTTAATCAGAATGAAAATTTCCATCATTGGAAAGTGTTTGAAGCAGGTAGGAAGGGAACAAGGAGTAAATTATATCTAGTGGGATAATTTTTTTTTTAGGTAATTAACTAAAGCAGCAGTTTGCTATCTAAAAGTCAACAGTTTAAACCTGAAACCTTGATGCATGAGTAATGATAGTTTCAGGATGAGACTGTAAGAATCTCATCAATCTCAAATGGAATCTTGATTGTAAATTGCTGTTGGTAATTTGTATATGTAAATTCACAAGCCCTTGGGTGATTAAGGATTAATTTCACAATAATTTTTAAAGTTTTTCCAAAAGTGCCTAAGTTGCAAGGCAACTTGGGAATTTTTGGGAAAACTCAGAAAATACAAGTGAAATTAATCCTTAATTGCCCAAGGGCACTTGCAATCACTTGTTTATCATGTAAAGGGTAAAATTTTTGAGTGAATTGCATTTGCTCTCAATGTCTGTGTGATGACACTTTTCAATGCAGCCACAAATGTTAGAACAAATGTAACTGATCAGTTGATTCAATGAACATTTTATTTTTAAAATACAGTTAACAAAGTTACATGGCTTCATTTGATAAATTGCAATCAATAAATTGTTGCTACAGACAGCAAAAAGGCTCATCATGCCCTCTTGGTTACTTAAGTGCCTGTGTGATTAAGAAAAAGTACCCTCTGTCTAAGCCAATCAGCATTCAATGATTTTGGCCCACATGTGATAATTCCAAAAAAGAGACCTCAGGTAGTATTTGGACTAAAAAGCACTTTGAATGGGAGAATATTCTTGAGTTGAAGCCAGGGTAAACTAGAAAGAAAAATAGAAAGGTTGTTATAAGTATATTGGATATCAATGTTACATATAACAGATATTGGTAATTCCTCTTTTTACAGGCACATCTGAATCACTAAAAAGTTATGTTTTCTTGACTTTAAGATTATTTGTTTACAGATGTTAAGGTATTCTCATTTATATCAAGATAACAGTTGTAACAAAATTTCAGTCTGCCAAGGGATGAAATTGACATGTTGTTCCACTTGAGAGAAAGCCGTAATTTACACTTTTACTTTTAAAATTTTGGATATGGCCCTCAAACTGTACTTAAACATCATCATTATATTCCAGTACTGGTCCATCTTCCGATCTGATGATGAGCCAGACCTACAAGAACATATATTTAAACTTACCTCCTTTCCTTATATTAGGCACAGCAACAGGCTGCCCAACATGCCAGTGGTCAACAACAGGTACACCTTTCTTATTCTGGATATGATTTAGCTTGTGACCTAGAGGATGCAAGAACTTCTTTGTTTAAAAAGGCACTAGCAAGTGTCAGCTAGAAACTAAAATGGGGAGTAGACAGTGGAAACAGTAAATACTCAGAAGGCAAAAGTCCCATTTAGAATCATAATCCTTCAAGTCACCAGAATTCATTGTTTGCAGCCAAAAGAACAACAATACACAACATTGCAGTGAAAATGCTCAATTGTTGGGCTGTATATTATGATTTTGTGAACTAAGAATACCAATATTCACCAAGTTTCTTAAGGCCCTCAGAGCTTAAAAGTACAAATGCGAGTTGGTTAAACATACAAACCTTGGTTGCTAATTAAAAATACATTGAACTAGGAATTTATTGATCATCATGTATCCCTGACATTAATAAAAATTCCAATAGGTTACTATCTGCAAATAAATGGGCTAAGCATTAGATCAAACCTGTACACAGCTTAATCCTTTCACTCCCACAAGTGACCAAGACAGAATTTCTTCTTACATTATCAATACAATATCAAGCAGGCAGGTGATGAAAATAGAGAAGAATGTCAACCATGGGATTATTAGTTGATCCAATACCAAATTCTCTGAACTAACATCATAAGAATTGTATGGCAGATAGTAAGGAGAATTACTAATTAGAATTTGGGAGTGAAAGGGTTAAGGGTTATGTTGGAGTAGGAGTTATTTTTGGGCTGATAAGGAGTGGCCAAGGCAGTGCTCAAGTAATGAACTTTCAATGTACATGTAATTTTGGTCTTAAATACCCTGTAGATTTTTTGCCAGCCATACACCCTTTAGAATGGGAACTGAGCCTACATGTATCAACTGAACTTAAGTGAGATTGTGCATAAAAATGTATTATTATGAGGTTTTTTTAAAAATGTGAAAACCAAGTACCCAACAGTTTACAGTGTATCCCCTAACTGTACATATTTGAGTGATGGGATGACTAATTTTTATGTACCAAATGTGATATTCAGTCTCCATCAAGTACACCTGTAACTTCACCTGCAAGCAACCCAACGTCCCAATCAGTTCCTTCATTTCAGTCTGGGTTAGATGGAATAGGAGGATTTGACATGCTTGGAAACTCAGGTATTTTTTATGCCCTAGCTGTCTTTTATGCCCAGCCGTATGATTTTCAGACTGTTTCTTTTTACTTCTCTGTTAGGCTTGATGCTTTTAAATATTTGTTGTTGTTGTTTTTTTTTTTGAAGATGTTTAACTTAAATGTTGGTTTTACATTTGGTTGGTTTTTTTCCCTTTACTATCTTAAGTAACCAGGCTGTAAGAATGTCGAGACATAAGGATAGAAAACTTAGCATGCCTTCAACCATCCTGTAACTATGTGTTGGTTTTTAGGCAGTTAATAGATAAACAGTTAGGTACATTTTCACACACTCTCAGATTTGCTTTCAACAAAATTGCAGCTTTGACTCATACTGCAAATTTAAGATTATGATTAATGTTTTGTGACCATTTTTTCAAAATTGATTATAATATATTATTTTTCAGGCAACATCCACCAAATGTCACAACAGGTAAGTCTGAGGTGGACACAATACAGTCAACACTCTATTTCTACAAAGTAAAGGTCACTGTCACATGACCTGTCCAACCCTATTTGTGCAATCTGATATAAAACCATCATGAAGGCTGACATTTGTAGGGCCAGACAGGTTGATGTGAGCTAGTCCAGAAGACAATGTCTAGCCCTATTGCATTTGAACTGCTTTTTTTGGAAATAAAAAGAAACCTTTTTTTCTGTTGTTACAAAAAATTAGCAACAGTATTAAAGATTAACAAGGAAATAACTCCTGTTTTTCAATAAATTGTAATTTTCATGGTCTGACTCGAAGCAATAAAGGAAAAATTTTTGTTGTAGAATCTTTTTTGTGGTTTTTATGGGTGTGCCAGTTGATTGTCTCCCATTTAAGTGAGAACAAACTTGTCACATTTTTCAAAACTTATTTCAGATTCCGTGGTTATATGATAAATGCTGAGTTAGATCAGGTTAGACAGGAAAATATTTGCCTCTCTTTGAAGATGCACATAGGCACATACTTCATGACCTTCTACCAAATATTTTCCTGTCTGGCCCTCCCGCTTAGTCAATAAGTACAGAGTATTTATTTTATTTATTTATCAGAGTATTTAAGGTGATAAACACAACCATAACCTCAGGAACTAGTATAAACAATGTTTTTCAGTTAGTTAGCAACCCTTCTGGCAATCTTGTTGAAACATCACACTCTCCTCTCAATTTTGAGTTTGAGTTTTTTCATATAGAGATAAACTTTATTTAAAATAATGGTTTTTTGCAAGATACTTTTCCTTTGTTATAGCATAATTTTCATATTAAGTATTTAATAAAATAGTTAATGAGGGCCCCACTGAAAACCGCTGTGGTGAGTTGGGCTCCCTCGTTAAATACTATTATTATTATTATTATTATTATTATTATTATTATTATTATTATTATTATGGCATTTCTAAGTACTGTTTGTGTATTTACGTCTGTGAACCAAGGTGATTGTTTTCTTTTAATCATGCTATAACCACTTTGATACCTGTTTCAAAAATCTTTTTTTTATTACATCAGCTCATGTCCAACCCAGAGATGCTAAGACAAATGATGGACAACCCAATGGTACAGGTAATGCAGCTAAATTGCAAACATTTTGTCTGATATCTTACAGCAGCAAGGTGGCACAGAAAACATTCAGTACCCCTAGTATTCTCAGCTTCTGCATTAGGGAATAACAATTTTTCCAATGACCTACCTTCTCTTAGAGTTCTAAAATTTGTCCTCCTTGTTACCTAATTAATGCTTGCAAAATAATCACAGTTGATGGCATATGGAGCACATATTTGACTATGTTGACATGAACACCTATGAATGCACTTGTTCATTATTTTAATTTTTTTTCCTGGAATTTCCTTTTATTTTAATTTTGCAGTTGTTGGTTTTGTTGAATAGTTTAGTTTTCTATCAAGCCCAACTCAGGGTGGAGTTTTACGTAATCAAAGCTTAAGCAAGAGTCTTGCACACATTTAATGATGTTGTTGTTTGCTGTGTCAGCTAATGAATAATAGTTGAACCCACCACCTACTTTTACACTCCAGTAACATTACTACAATTGTTAATTTTCCATGGTCTTCTTTAACAGTATTATTGTGGTGATAATGCATCTCTTGCAGTATTAACTAAATTCCATGGAATATTGCATTGCACATAAGAATTTTCTGGTACTTTGCTCCATCTGAATTTGGTTTGTGTTCCAAAAATCTTCAATTGTGTTTTTCAACAAGGACTGCAAAGGAATATTCATTCAAAGTCTAGTTTTGATATTATTGCTAGCTTCACTCTACGATTGGGTGATATTTCTTGAGTTGAAGTATGTTTACAGCAAAGAAGTATCTTTAAAACATCAAGTTTTAAAAACTTTCCTGCCTCCCCAAAAATCTCACCAATGGAACACTTCCATGACAAATGTTTTCCATCTTGTGGTCACTTGGCACCCACAAAAATAACTGATTTCAAGTAAAGGAAAACCCTCCATTACTCTGAATTATTACATCAAATTTGGCATTTAGATGAGTCATTTGTGTATTAATGTCATGAAATTTTGCTAGTCACTCCTCTTAAATTGTTTATGTTGACAATTTTCTTCCTCTCTTGTTACAGAGCATGATGTCAAATCCTGATCTTATTAGGCAGATGATTCTAAGTAACCCACAAATGCAACAAATTATTGAGGTAATAGAGAATTAATTTTAAGTGAAAATGACATTTAACTTTTAAAAGTCATAAACTCTAATGCTCTAAGATCAAGTTTCATGGGATTAAAATGACAAGTTGTGCATCCAGTTCTCCATAAGATTTCAACATAAAACGGAAAAAGTGCAAAATATTTTGTAAAACATTTTATTTTTATTGGGAAAAATAACATGGAGAAGACACTGCTGTTTAAAACATAAAATTCAGTCACTTGTAAATCTGCAACTTACTCATTATCTCAATTTGAAACATTATTAGACCTGCTGGGATTAGTCCTTTCATTGAAGAGTTGGGCATCAATTTTTAAATATTTTGAGTGTTTTGGATTGAACCAACATTTTACAGCAAGAGATAGCAAAGTCAATGTGACATTGACAAAGCTCCTCCTGACTGAATAAATCATCCCTGTGTGTATGAAGGAAGACAGTTTTTAATAGCTGGGAAGTCTCTTGGACTTCCAGCAATTATCTACATCACTATTAATAGAGACTAATTTTTGTCAATTTCAAACTGTGGAGTGTTTTCACATGATGTTATGACAGTCACAGTGGTGTTACTAAACAATGAAAAGTTGGCCACATTGGTGTTCCAAATTAGTCCTACAGGAGTTTGATTCTTTTTTATACAAATTCTTTCTTTTGTGTCAATGGAAAACAAGATAGCTTGTCACATGAGTGAAAAGGCTCCATTGTAAAAAGGATGAAACACCTAAAATCCTGAATACAAAAATTAAATTTATTCATCTCTTGTTTCTTCCAAACAGAGGAATCCTGAAATCTCTCACATTTTAAACAACCCAGATTTGATGAGACAGGTAATTCAAAGAAAATTTTACTCAAGCTCTAATTTTTGAGAAAGTTGTAATTTTAATTGAAATAGGTTTAGTGAGAAGAAAAGTTGTTGAAAAAGAAACAGAAGAGGTAGCTATGAAAGGATACACTGCATGACATCAAGGAGAGGGATATCACTAACTTCACAACTGTGAGCTATTGAGTTATAGAGAACTTCATACAAATCACAGCACACACATGCCTTAGAAGTTTATTGCAGCTGTTCCATTGTTGGTTTCGGCATTCTGTACTCAAAGGGAAGGAATTTCCAAGTTGAAATCAAGGGTAGTGACAGGTTGTTTGAAATATACACTATAGCAGCTTAAGTGCCTGCGATTACAGTGAAAGAAAGGATTAATGGATTTTATCTTACTTTTTAATCAATTTTGCTTGCTTTGGTCCAAAGCATGTAATGGAACAATTTAATTCTATGGAATCATTGTTCATGTCCTATTACATGAATGCTTGATTTTGTTAAAAGGCTCTCACCAATGATAAGGTTCTTCATAATACAGTTGCCTTGCAAAGAGCACAGTTTTTTAGCCTTCCCAAGCTGTCTGCAAGACCTCTTTTTGTGAATCACTTTGGGCCATTTTTCTTCAAGATAAGTACTTACAGGGTTGATGTAAGCTCTATTGAAAGTGAAACAAATCAGGGAATTAAGGCTGAGTTAGTGAAGTGATTAAGTAAAAGTATCAATTTGCATTCTAGCCTTTTATCAGAATGCAAATTATGTACAATTATGAGGATAAACTTTACATGCTGTTTAATCCCTCATACATGGAGCTCATCCTTAGGTAAAATGATAAACAAAACTTACATTACTTTACCCTATAGACAATGGAGATGGTGCGAAACCCTTCTGTGATGCAGGAGATGATGAGGACACATGATAGGGCACTAAGCAACTTAGAGGTGGTGTATAATAGATTTAGGCTGTAATCACTCAAAATAAAACCTGTAGTAATGAATTATAACAATATTGATGATGATAATTATAATAGTAATTAATAATAACAATAATAATAATAGTGATTGTGATAATGATACAATATCAATAGTAATAGCTCTCATACCTCTCACTCAGGATGATTTCAAGTTATATAATAATTATTTATTGGATAGGATGAGACCAAGCTCAAATTCCCTAAACAAACTAAATGAAAGAGAGATTCCAGCCCTATGATTAAGCACTCTAAAAAGCAAGAACTTTTAAATTCATATCCTTAACATCTGGGATTTTCAAAAGATATAAATAAACACATAGACCCATAAACACATATTCTATAGCATCCCCACACATAGCTGAATATAGTTAGTTAATGAAATAGGCAGACACACACATGCATTTAAAATGCTCATTTAAATGTTATATGTGATAAATATGTAACAGCAAACATCATTTGTAGGATAAGAGAAGTGTTTTTTTTTTTTTGTATTTTAATTTTGTGATGCATGCAAATGGCTTAGCACTATTCAATAAGTTGTTGTTTATGTGCTAGTGTGATTCCACAATGAGAGTTACACAGTACCTCAAGGAAGTCACACCTACATGGATTTTAAAAAAGTTTTACTCTCTTTTTATACGGTTATTCTTTTGTGTCACATGGAGGTTCTGAGGTGAGATTTTCTTCATTTTGTTCACTGACAGAGTTTACCAGGAGGTTTTAATGCTCTGCAACGAATGTATACAGACATACAGGAGCCTATGCTAAATGCTACACAAGAACAGGTAAAGTATGGACCTCACTTGGTGATCTTCTCACCACTGCTTGTTGACTGATTACTTATTTACCAATTAGAAAGTAACAGATTAGAACGCAGGAAAAAAGCTTATAACATTCTCATCCAACTGATGTGACTCATTTTGACCTACAAATCATTTTTAAGAATAGAGCATTACACTCACTCACTTAAGAAGATGATGTGTACTATGGGTTAACAAAAAGTAGTTTCTAGAGTTGAGTTCTGATGCAGGTTCCAAACTAACTGAGCTCATGCAATAGGGCCCAATTAGGTATGTGGCTTCATGAACTCGCACTAAGAATACATTATCATATAAACTGCAGTGTTATATAAGGATTTCCCTGAGAAAAAACAACAACACACACACGAAAATGTGATAATTTTTCTTGTGTGTTTGATATGGCAAATCAGCTGCTGAGACATCACTCACCTTTTGAGCCACTCTGTCATATTAATGAATGAAAGGGGAAGCCTTCACCATTTTCAACCCAAGGTTGTTTGTCAAAATTTCTCAGATTATGGCTGGTTAAACTCTGAAAAATTCATTTTGCTTAAAGACAGTGACATTCAAAATTTCTTAGAAAAGGAAGAAAACCAAAATACTCAAAGAAAAACCGAAGGTTACATCCTCAGTGGCTTCGGTAAAGGCATTTCTTGCAGCTACAATAACTTCATAGCTTTTCTTTGGGATCTCACCCAATGTTCCCCCAGTAGACAACATGCAACTTTTGACCTCTTAATGTCATCCAGGTATGTTTAAAACAAAATTTTAGTTGAGACCATATACTTCAAAGGGCTTTCTTTGTAAACCTTGGAAGAAACTTATTCTCATGTGACATAATGAAACATTTTGAGAAAGATAGTTAAACTTTATATTTCTTGTTTAAAGATGCTAATTAACAAATAAAGAAGCCTTGACTGTGCTCTGTTCTGTTGTAAAGCAGTTAGAAGGCGGTTAGAGCACTCAAGAAGTGGAAAGAAACGCTCAACTACGCCTTGTGTTTCTCCCTTTAATCTTTCGTGCTCTAGCCACTTCCTGCATGCTTTATAACAGAACAGAGCACAGTCAAGACTTCTGTATTTGTTTTATAATAAAAAATCCATTAAATTCCCACACATTTATTTCAATTTTCTAAACAAAAGTGAACACTAGTGTCGTCAGCATGCTCTATACTCATAAAGCACACTACAATAAGCCAATCAGAATCCCAGTTAGAATGGTTCAAATAATCTGATTGGCTGCACAAGACTACAGCTGTCAAAAATGTCAAACCATTAAAGTTCAAAACCATCAAAGTTCACATTCTGCAATAGTTTACAAACTGAAATAGTTCAGCAGGTAGAATTTAACACTTTTGCTTGAAGAGTTTTAGTTTATAAAATATTATTATATTAGTTTTTTATAATACAGAATCTGAAAGTGAAATGTTCAGTGAAATCCAGCCAGATTGTGGCTCATAAAAACACAAGTTTTTTCACATGATAATTAGAAAACAAACTTCTCAAGATGAGTGTTTTATGAATGAACAACAGCCAAAATTCACCAGAACTTGAAGATTGCTCAGGATGACTTTGGCTGCAGTGATTGATTTGACCTTCCACTCAAGGCATTGGAAAGGGCATCAGAGCAAGCTCTTAGTTGTTTATTGGAAGGGTGGCTAATTTAATTTCTGAGACTTGGTTCACTATGATGACCAGAGATTGTCATGATGAGCCAGCCATGATGGACCTCAGCATGATCATGTCAAACATAGTACAATTTACTCTACAACTATACTCTCACAGAGCATGATCTATCAACCAATGACAGTGTGCGTTATATCTGAACTTTACTATAAATGCTGAATAGTCTCCAGAGATGCACTTTTATTCCAACTTAAAATATTAAAGCAAGAAATGCATTTGCCCCCCAAGTAACTTAATTATTGATAAACTGTCTATGAGAGTATGACAGAGAAGTTTTGTCTTCTGTTATCCCCTTATGGATATCATAGCAGACAAGGTAAGACTTCTAAACCAAAAAGAAAAAAAACTTCTTTTAAACGTCGGGGCATTTTGTGTTGTTAGTAAATCTTTAATCCCCAAAAAGATCAGTTACTCGTACGCATAATGTCACGCATATACAGCACAGTAATCACAACTTGCAAGTACTTTATGCTTGCACCACACTGTGCATAAAGGTTGAAAATGGAAAATCTTCACTATTTTTATGTGAGCACACTTATATACCCAACTTGTTAAAGAAACTTCCTCCTGATGAAGTCTGCTATTGTCAGACAAAACACGTAGGAGATTAAAACAGGTTTGTACTACTTCAGTTCATTCAAAGTTAAAAGTTTCATATAAAAAGATAATTGCTGAGGTTTCTATTGCTTCCACTTAATTTTAGTTGCTGTTCTACCTTAAACTCAGGTAAAGTTATTTTCAAGTGGATCCCAAGGGCATGTTGAAGAGTAAATTACATTTCATTACATTTCAGATGGAACAGTTGCGATGAACTTGTAAGGTTAGATTATAAGTACACGTATGGGTATGAATGTAAACTGATCAACAACTGTTTGTAGTTACAGCGTGCACAGAATAATCCATTTGCAGCATTATTTGGCGGAACATCAGGTAACAACCACCATAAGTAGCATATAGTTTTCAACAAATCATAAGAAAAAAGATCTTTCAAACTTCCTGACCCTTCAAACATTACCACCTCAATTGTTACAAGAAATAGCTTCTCTCAGCCATGCAATACTCCTATCTATAAACAGACCATAACTTCCATCAATAGGGTGTCATGATCTGTGAAACACTATTTATCTCTAATTAGCAGTTTTTATTCTTGATACTGTAGCCTCTGGTGTTACATCAAATCAATCTTCAAACCCTCAACAAGGAACAGAAAACACATCTCCTCTTCCAAACCCATGGTCTGCTACACCTCAACCAAGTCAACCACTAGTGCCTCAGACATCTACACCTTCTAGTGCTTCTACGGCTACTACTACTCCTGTGTCCAGGTTGGTCTTGAAAGTATTCATGTTTACTCTACAATGGCATGTACTTTAATGTTCATTCACAAGAAAGTTAAGATAAAGGGATTAATTGATTTTACATCTGTGAAGTGCCTAAGCCTTTGTCACTGATAAACAGCTGGATTGGTTGTGCTCAATGTAGTATTTCAATCAGGTAATTCTTAGTGTTATGATGTGCATCTTATACAAGAAATTGCAAAAAACTTTATTTGGACCAAGTAGACTGATTATCAAAGGGGAATAGGGAAATGATAGTGTAACCTGAAGCTCAATATGTAAAAGATATATGGCAATAAAACTGGTAAGTAGAAAACAGAGAACAGTTATAATTACATTTATAAAAGATTCTACTCTCTCAATTTGTTTAGAGCCCTGTCTAAATCAATAAACAATTAAAAAGTTTTTATTTTAAAAGTTTTTATTTTAAAAGTTCTCTGTATAAAGCAGACATGACATTCTTTGGGAAGCTCATCCCTTTCCTTTCCAGTGGGGTATAGAAATGTGGATTGGCCCTTTACAGTTTTGGTTCTTGGGAGATGGAGTTCTCTACTGTTTCTCAGGGCCCTAGTGCCTTGGAGTTGGAATGTTTGTATGAAATATTCTTGTTGTTACCAGCAATTATTCTATGTCTGTTTCAAAATGTCAAGTGATTCTGAAAAATATCTGGTTTTGAAGTGAACAAATTTTGTATGTGTTTATATGCTTTCATCCCCTACTAGCTTTGTGAGTCAGCCCCCTGCCCCTTGGGTTATACTAGCTTGCCTTCACTTTCACCAGCTCACCCAAAAATCTTCCAACTTGTTTCTGAACAGCAGCATGGTGTAATCATTTTCTGTAGAAATCATTGATAAGTATTTTGATGAACATGTAATTCAATGGCAAAACCAAAAAAAAAGTTAAATCAATAAAAAATTCTTGGTATGTAAACTGACACACAATTCCTGCACAAGTAATGCAATACCACTACATTACTTTAGTCTTAAACTAACTGGTTTGACCCAATTTTATGCTTTTGTCTGTCTCATATTTCAAGAAATACTTCTAAGAACAAACTAAATAAAGATGGCTCTTTTAGGAGTAATATATATTTTAAACAATGACTAACATATGTATTTCATTGTGTAATGCTCGCAATTGTGTATATTTGGGCCTGGTATTTCAAAGCCACTTTGCATGCTTTTGTAGTCCAGAGTTAAACGTAGAAAAACAAGGAATTCAACATTGATCAAACATATTTACGATTTTGTTAGAAAAAAATACATGATCTGATCTAAGGGAACAAGTTGAAAGAATTGGTGCTAACTGATTAAGTTGGAAGCAAACTTGTTTAACTGTGGGGTGGGGGACTTGTTTAACTCCAGAGGGAGAACTTGTTCAACTACAGGGGCAAACTTGTTTAACTTTGGGCAGGCAAACTTGTGTCACTGCAGGGGGCAGACTTGCAATTTGGTGAAGCTAGGCTTCAATCCCTGGAAAATAATGGGCAAACTCTCAGATTTCAGTAGTGTCAAACAATTCAATAACACTGTTTATGTTAGAGCAGATCATTTTTACAGCTTGTGTAAACTATAACATTTCTATTTAATTGTTACTGTCATATTGATTTCATTTTATGCCCAAGCTCAGATTTTTCATTGACTATGAAACCAACATAATTTTAATAATTAACTGAAATTTCTAAACAAACATCTAACAACATCAAGAAGGTTCAGGGGAAACGTGTGTGAATGTTACCCAGTGGCCAGCCATACAGCCTCAGCATAATTCTAATCACTAAATAATTCACATTTGGTCTTTTTCCTTTTGCTTTTTGTTTCTCCTTGAACACTGGAGCAACAATTTTACTACTAGGGATTAAGTTAAGCAATAAATATAGACAAAATAAGTAGTTTTAAGAGATTATCAAATAATGTCAACAGTCACCATTGGTCTTGAATTGAGTAGCTAGTGTTTAGAAAATAATATGAATTTTATCCTTTTCAGTGGTGGTTTTCACAGTTCTTGTTTCTACTCAGAAACCAAGCTCTTCATGTGCTTTTTTTCAGTGTTGGTAACAATTCAAGCCCTAACCCATCTCAACAAGAAAACACCATGACAAGCATGTTCCAGACACCAGCCATGCAGTCCTTGATGCAGCAAATGACCAGTAACCCAGCCTTGTTTCAAAACATGATGCAGAGTCCTTACATGCATGACATGATGGAACGCATGCTACAGAATCCTGAACTCATGGCTTCTGTAAGTTGATATGCAAACTAAACCAACTAAATCAATTATTTACTGATATCATAGTTTCAATGGGGTTTTTGAATCTCTTCAAAAGTGACAAAGAGAATTTATTTGGAAGTGTATTTTTTGGTTTTGTTTTCAGTGTTTTGTTGGGTTTTTTTTTTTCTATTCTTAGAATGTCTTGGCCCAGTACAGCACTGGTATATGTTATCCTTACTTTAAGTGTTATGTTTTGGAACCACATTCTAACTTTACACTGTAACTCTTATGACTTATGCAACTTAAAACTGGATTGATTTGCAGTTTAAGAATGGTAAATTAATTTCACTGAATGCTGAAACAAAATAATAAGCTTACTTCAAATGAAGCTTTTCTGGATTTTAAAGTTTGTGATGTTGTTAAGGTGGCTTGAATTTCTTTCAATTTTTCCTCAAGCAACAATAGTTATTGTTCTAAGGATCAGTACTACTCTAGCTTTTCCTTTGTTTCCCTGAAAGTCTTTTTACAGCACTGTAGAAAGATTGATCATGATATAGTGATTGTATTTCAGCAGTTAGTAAACAGGATGATCAAAGTCATTTTTGAATTACATTTTCTGAAAGCACAAATTAAGAGTATTTCTAGTGGCTGCGGTGTTTCAATGGTAATCAGATATTCCAAAACGTTTTGACACAACTTCATGAGAACCAATTTTGCTTTTTTTCATGCCATTTCCTAGAAACAAATTAGTGGTATTGTTTACCCATTCAAGAGTAAATGTTTGGAAATAGCCCAACCATTTTGAGCCACCTGAAATTATGTTTTAACCTCTGTTTGCTTGAATTACAAAAAAATAAATAGACTAAGAGAAATGTGTGTTTCTTGTTTATTGCTTCTTGTTTCTCCAACAGATAAATAGAAATCTGCTAGATCCATTTTTGAGAACCATTTTGAGTCCAAGTGTTAAGTTCTTCTTTATACCATAGACACTAGAATTAGTGGACAGAAAACTAAATGGCTTGTGCAGGAAAAAAAATATATTTTATGATGAGGAATAAAACCTCCAACCTTCAAATTCTATGACCCTACACTGAGCCACTGGTCCACAGAGACTTTACAGTGACTTAGGCCATTGCTAGGTTCATATGTTTCATATATTGTTCCTCTTCTTACAGTTTTTTCCTCCTGTCTTGTAGATGATTAGATCAAATCCAATGTTTCAAGGAAATAGCCAGCTAGCAGATCAGGTAGAGTGGTGTAACCTAATTTTTTAAGATTTCCTCTACACAAGCTGATACAAGTTTGGCTCGCTTTGTTGACATCATATAACCACAAAAGAAAACAAACTTTTGGACTTAAAATGTGTTGTGGTTAGCTTGCTATCCTGTGAGGGTATCATCATGTTATCAGGTATGAACCAATTGACCACCCACCAGGCAGTTTGTTCTGTCATTAGTGAGCATTAAATTTCATTCCTTCAATTTATATTTTTTTAGAAACAGTCCATGATTACAGAGGAAATAAATCTCCCTAGGTTCATGATTTTTTTTGTATGTGACAAAGTCATTAATGCATGGATATAACCTTCACACAAATTGTGACCCTCCATGTAATTTCGGGGACAAAGGTGATAACACGCTCACAACACGCCAATACAACACGCTTAGCGTGTCCAATGTGCGTATGTATTATACACTATGTTCTGCTTCAGTCAAGTTAGCACGCTTGGTCTTTGTTTTGGTCAAGCGTGATCGATGTCACGCTTAGCGTGCAAGTTAACACAGGTTAACACAGTTAAAAGCTGTAACCTTCACGCTGAAGTCTCTGATTCAACCCTCTCTAAGAAAATTTTCCCATGACTTAACCGTAGGGTTAAATAATTTTTAACATTATTAATCCTAATTTGTAGTGCAGATGCATCAAAAGGTGTATGTAGAGGTTATATCTTTCAATTGCAAAATAAAAAAAATTGAAGAAAGATCATTACTGTCAGAAACTCGTGTAAAGTGCTTGTGAAAAAAGCTTAAGCTGAGGAGGCTAATTTTAGCCTCAGTTTTGCATGATGGTCTGAGTCAAACATTGGTGGCAAGGTGACTTCTCTTGGTGGCTACTTAACCTTAAATTTTGACTACATTGTGACTTTAATCCTATTGTTAAGATGAAAACTGCATGAATGACAAACTTTATATTTTTATAGGTTGCATCAAGACTTCCAGAATTTATGCAGCAGGTAAGATAGTTAAGTTAATCAGTTACATTGGAAATATTTTCCGATCAGATCATTTGTCCCTGAGGTTTTTTTCTCTTAGATAAACCCCAATGAAACCCCCAGATAGAAAGGACTCAATAATATCTTCGGGGAAAATATTCTTGCCTAGAGATCTTTAATCATATTTTATTTCTTTTGCAAAATGTCCATGCTTCGAGAACATTGCCTCCTAGTGAAAGATGGTTTTTTGTCTCACGGAAACTTCAACATCCGTGGCTTAGTTGTTTTAGAAAACGCTGACACTGTCATTGATGTTGATGTATTTCCTAAAACCTCATAGGCAATAAAAATAATTCCCATGATTCGAATATGTGAAGGGAAAAAGTTAGGAGGCTATAGGATAAATCAATAAAGGGGTAAGTTTCTAAAGAAACTGTGGTGCTGCGTCGGTGGGAGAGTATAGCAGGTAATTTAGTGTTAACAACTGGGTTGAAAACGTAAATTAGCCACCATAAAGGGTAAAAAAGCTGACGTTTCGAGCGTTAGCCCTTCGTCAGAGCGATAGACGAAGGGCTAACGCTCGAAACGTCAGCTTTTTTACCCTTTACCGTGGCTAATTTACGTTTTCAACCCAGTTGTTAACACTAAATTACCTGCTATAGGATAAATCATCATGATATCTATTTCAGTTTTCTAAACCGCTTCAAAATTCTTTATGCCTTAGGCATAGGCAGTGTGTACCCTTTATTACTACCAATTCACTTATCAGAAATACCTGACTTTCATTGGCATTTAAACAGATGCAAAATCCGGATTTCCAGCAAGCCATGACTAACCCTAGAGTGATGCAAGCCTTGATGCAAATACAACAGGGGATGATGCAGCTACAAGCAGAGGCACCAGGCCTAGTACCAGGAGTGGGGTGAGCTAAGCAGGCTGCTGAGCCCCTTTGAAGCATACTTTAAAAATTTGCTTAGTTAGAATATCAAAACGAATTTTAGAGTGTCAGAGGAATCGTTGCTAATTCAGCAAAAACAAAATGGAGGGTTCTTCTGAACCCAGAGACGTAAACGGAATGTATTTTGGCCGCCGTTTTAAGTCCCACTAAACTGCCAATCTTTATTTCTCTATAAAAATGCTTTTGATCAACACCACTCAATAGGATAATTTGCAGTTAGCTTTTTGAAAAACATCCAGAGTTGCAAAATTAATTGCCTTTGCGAAAAGGAAATTGTAAATTTCGAGAGTCAATTTTTGTGAATGGAGGAAACAGGAGAACCTGGAAATCTGAAACTCAACAATATATGACACCAGGTGCTGGAAACAGAGTGTTACAGCATTTCCCTTGGTTGTTTCTCCTTTCATTTGATATCCACGCTTAACTTATCAATGACTTTAATGACATTGATGGGTAATCCTGGAGTGAGCAATCAAACGTTTCCATATATATTGTAATCTCGCTCTATGCTTAAGTTAGTCAATTGAGTAACTCCTTTTCTGTGAGTTCCATTTCTGAACCAAGTAAACTTAATCAAACAAACCAAACAAAACAAAACTCGATCCATCGGATTTTGTTCGCCTGAGTTCAGTCTTTTGAACAAAATGAATTCATTCTTTTCCTGGTTGTACCAGTTCCAAACCATTTGCTTTTAAGTGAAGCAGTCGATTTAAACTGAACTCAGGGAACAGTTTCCTCTGAATTCTGCCATGAATGAACACATTTACACACACATTGTAATAGCACGCCATGACAGTAGGATTTTTGTGATAATGTCTCGAGAGCTTGTTCCAGTCGAGGCCTGGTATATTTCATGATGTAGTAGAAATTATACTCTTCCAAGGCAGGAAGACTTACACAATTTAACTAGAGGACAAGAAGTAAAAGTCTCGTCAAGATAAAGGTTTATCTTGAAATTTAGATTTTATCAGAGCGAATTTGTTAGACAATCACGGCGTTTTAAGGGTTCTCGAAGTCATCAAACAACAAGAGTAGGACGCCAAAAAACTTGAAAGTACAAAGCAGAGTTTCAGTCAACGTTCTAAATTGAAGTTCTACTTGAAACAATCATCGTGAATTCAACTGAAGAAGGAGGTAGCACAACTTTCAGGATATCTATCTAGAACTCCAGGAGTCCGTTATTTCCTGCAATGAAAGCCTGTCACAGCCTCCAATGCAATGAGAGCTTACTGTACTTCAAATACCTGAAAAATCGAGGGAATTTCTTCCTCTGATGCTGAACGGAAACATGGAGGTTATAGTGACTTTTAAACTCATTTGGAGAAGACCTGGCTTTTGGAGTGGCTTGTGGACGACCCAGTAGCCCAAAGCACATACTGTAGCCCGCAAATCATTGACCAATAACGTAGAGTCTATTCAAATCTAAAATCCATGTGGACACGGGGCGTCACCGAACTGAGAACTGAGTACAGCTGTTTGTATTCAGAAGTTGTCAATAATGCCTGAAATCACAATTAACCTCTTGAACGTCATTAAAGTTTGCAAATATTGGTCGCTTTGAGGAGATTCTCAGTCGAAGGAGTATCTCATCTGTTGAATGGAATCGCTCTATAGGCTCAACAGTTCAGTCTTGATTATACTCCACCTGAGGGGATGCCCACCATTGCAAAGTCAAAGCATCAAAATGTTCACATTGTATAGGATAAGGAATTCCCATTTTCACCTCAGGATACCCCTGATGACTGCCATTCAGAACACATGTGGAAGTAACCTCCACACAGATCAAGACAAATGCTTTGAAGATGACTCTTCTGTGAATCTTGATGCGCCTACATGGCATAGAGAATGCCAACATGAGTAGGAGGACTGGATTCAATGTTGTGGTACAAAATAAAGTGCAAGTCTCTAAGGATAATGTCAGATATCTCCCAATAATAGATATACTAGCTAATGACATGTCTACAATGTTTGAAGTACATCGTCAGTCGTTAAAGATTGGAACGATCTCAAGCTTTACACCATCGACGTCGTTTTTGATCGCGTCAAGCACTTTACGTTAGTGTTACAGAAATCAAATGGATCAATGATCACAGTGCTCTTAAAAAAGTAGAATTGCTAGAGGTGAAACAGATGTACAGTTCTTTACAGTCAACACTACAGCTTGGTGGAGACATTTCAGAGCCAAGGGATGTTGCTTGTGATCTGTTACAAACCAAAGATCTTGGAGAAAGAGCCTACCGATGTTTCAGCTAGGAAAGGCCAGAAGTAATCCCTCCGGAAGTCAAACTTTAATATTATATCGAAGAAGATTGTAACTGAAGCTGACCATGCCTTAGTTGTACAGAAGCAAGGCAACTAAGCATGAAGGAGGTACCATACTATTGTATGCAAGTAACATCTTTCGCTAAAGAGTTGCTGAAATGTACTTCATCGATTGAAAATATGCTAACCCAGTCGCCTTGCGTTATCGATGGTATGGCAAATGTTCAGAAGTTAAACAGTGATCAAAAGATTTTTGGCAGCAGTTGAACAGGTTTCTGCGGAACCCCGAGACCATGAAACAGCTGATGCATTACATCATTAGCGAATGGAGGAAAATCGTTTTAGTGTCACGTTGGGCAGGAAAAAAGTACACTGCACAGTAGGAGAAGAATGTTATGAAATGGCGTCAGATTTGGGTCAGCATTTTGTGAAGAGCTACGATCTTTACAATAGGAAGTGGACACGAGAATGGAGCCAGGAAGAAATTTCATTTCCACAGTCTCGATAGTGTCTGCCATTTTATCCAGTTTGACCATTTTAACCAGTTAAACCATTTTAGCCAATTCGCCCATTTCAACCAGTTGGACCATTTCGTCTACTTCTACCATTTCAACCGGTTGGCCATTTTATCCAGTTAAAGCAATTCAACCAGTTGGACCATTTCAACCAGTTCATTACAAGGAAGGATGTTGCACATTTTGTGGTGATCTATCTTTCTATTGCTAACACTGTGGAAAATGGTTCTGACAGGTGAATTAAACGTGAACGAACGGAAGATTGGCCAATTCTTTTTTAAAAAATAAAGAGTCTTAATGATGTGGAAGATTCATTTAAGACATAAATGAATGTTCCTTTTTGAGGGCATAACGTCAAAAGCTCAAAGAAGTTCCTGGTGAGATAATTTTAGTCTCTGTTTCTTTCATTTTTAGCCTTACTGGTGGCTCCTCTCCCGCAATGAGCACAAGTTCAACCACTTCTCCAGGCAACAACATGACCACACCTACATCGCAGACATCAGGTTTGTTTGACTAAGGTTTTGAATCATTAAACAATGCAAATTTTAAATTTTTGATAGACTATTTTAAAAAGCAAGAGGTATATTCTAAACACCTTATTGTTTTGTCTAAGCTATAAGACGGTATATACAATTATGGCACTGAACGCGCTTTTAGGTTGGAAAGACCTTTCCAACCTTGATGAACTCTGTATGTGAAAATCATTTTGCTCACCGCCATTTAGAACCTTGTCCAGCAACCCAATGAGAGTGTTACTTCTCCTTTTTTTCCCTCCAATAAAAACTGTATTGTCTTGAGCAATGTGCTTCTGCCATAACTAAATCAACTCCTTCTGGTTGTGTTTCTCGTCATCTGGGTGGAACTTTGCCTCATCAATTTTTTTTCCAAGTTAACAAGTTGATATAGAGCGAAGTTCACACATTTAAAGACAGATGACACGATTGGCTCACAATTCAACACTTACCTACCTTAGCGTGCTACATTTACAGTACAATTTTTATCTGGGTTACTACTTAGTTATTACTAAGGATTAATGATGGTTTCTGGAGAGTACCTCTCGCCCAGTCTGGTTAGCCATTTAAGTCACTTTAGTAGCCCCTCTCAATTAACGCATTACTCCATGAACTACCTTACTCTACAGCATGTAGAATGTTTTTTTCGGTGGAACTCTATGAATACCTTTCACTGAGAACCACTCAATTAAAGGATTGGTTTTGGTACATTACAGTGAGATTGTAGTGGTGTATATTTTTTGTACTTTATTTATTTACGTATTTATTTAATTTGTTTCATTTACTTATTTATTTTAAATTACTTTTGCTTGTAAACTGGTCTTGTTTGATACACTGCATATCTAGGAACACAAGGTGAGACACAAAGGCCAAATGCTGGAGGTACTCCGGGAACCACTCAAGGGGTTCCTCAGGGAAACCCTATGGCGCAGCTCATGTCCCAAATGATGCGGCAGGTATTATTCTTGAAATGACCTTTGGCACGCATTTTGGCTGATTCTCTGATTTTTAGTGAAAGAGACAACAAAACATTATTTTTTAATTTTCGGTCGCTGCGTCTAGTTAAAATGAACACGTCTCAGTCAATTTATAAGCCGTCCTCCCTTGCCAACAACTTTAAGACCGGTAGAACAGAAGAAATTTATTGGGAAGAGGAAAGTTGGAAATCAACGAAAAATGCCACAACTTGTACACTGTATTGTAGTGAAAGAAGTCATGGTTTGATTGTCATGAAACATCACCCCTTATGTTTTCAGACTCAAAATCCTGAGGTCGCCTACCGCGCGCAACTGGAACAGTTGGCTCAGATGGGATTTGTAGACCGGGCTCGGAATATCCAAGGTTAGACCTTTGATGCGTGGACTTTTGTTCAGTAGGCAATAACTTGCTAACTGAGCTTTGCCTTGCGATACGTTGCTGAATTTTACTTAAGTTTACTTTGCTGTTTGCTCTAATGTCAGAGAAGGAGGTTAGAAGTGACTGGGGAATTGCGAATACTTAAACCAAAAACATTACATTACACACATTTCTGGAGATTTGTGGATTCCTCTTTACAAAAAGTAACTAGTGTGCGTTTCCATTTCAGCTTTAGTTGCAACTGGCGGCGACTTAAATGCTGCAATTGAAAGACTGCTACAATGAAGACGGATTCAAATATATTACTAACCTATGGAGGGAAAAAACTGTCAGAATTAGAGATGAAAAGGGGCATACTTTGTCCTTTCTGTGCCTTATAAACAGTGTAAAACAAATAAACCGCGCCCGTACTGTGCCAGCCAGCAAAAAGTATGGGAACTAATCAGCAGTAATAGAATGGAAAATCGTTTTGTGGAATAGCTGTCTTATAATACATATTACTTAGGCATCACACAATACAAATGTGCTAGACTAGCTTAACCTTATTACAAGCTCTAGAAGATCATTATTGAATGTCATATTCAGAATCATGTGCCCATTTTCCATGAGGATAGTGTTTTTGATTTAACTTATCCCACATCTAGAAACTACAAGGAATTTTTATGTCACCTTTTCTACTTTGAAAATGTAAATGAAGAAAAGCTATTAGATGTTGTGATTCCCCAATAAAATAAGGAATAGTCTTTTTTGGTGAAACTTCAAGTAACCATGAAGATCTCACAGAAGCTTTCTGCCAGTCATCGCCAATTCCTTCCTTTGGGGCTTGATAAAAAATGCGAAGCACGAACAGCACTAATTCAGGTTTGATTGTTACAACGACTTGTTGTTTTTGTATACAACTTAATCGGGACAAGTTATTGGGTTTCGAACTAAACCAGCTAAGTAAGTTTGAGTTGCTTGAACAACATCCGGTTGAAAAAGTTTTGTAGGGAACAGCTACTGTGTGGATTATTTGTGCGCCTTGGATTTCACCAAACTGAAGACTGATAGATAAACTTGGTCAGAAAAGGTAATAGAACATGAAATATTATGCCAGACAAATTCTTGTGAATGGCGAAGGACCCTCAGAGAATGAAAAGAGGTAAATAGGTTAGGAGATATTTAACACCATGCTCATGCTTTGAACTAGGCTCTTACTCCTTTCTAGTGGAAGTAGTGAGGTGAAAGTAACTTCAAATATGAGTGTGGAATATGCGCCGTTTTCACTAAATGTCACTCCGCACATCGTATCATCTTAAGGCCACCAGTTGTACATTTTAAGCGGCCCTTATGGGAAATGTTTGGAGATTTCCATGATTCCTTGGGCACAATTCATCTGGCTTTTCTCAAATTGTTGATGAAAATTCGCAATTCGCTTTCTCGAACAGGTTATCCTGGAAAACGTGTTAAGTTACGATAAAAAAAAAGGAAAACAAAGTCATAATACTCAAGGACTTAGTAGAGGTCTTGATAAAAGTCAATGACTCGAAAAAGGGTTATGATTCGTTAAAGTGATGTTGACAGTGCCGTTTACGGTGCATTTGCTATAGACTTGTAGTTTGCTCCTTGGCGACCACAGCACTGTGAATCTGTGAATGATAATTAAAATACCTATAGAAAAGACTCAGGTGTGCTGGTGTCAATTTAAAAAAAAATAAAAAAAAAATAAAAAAAAATAATAACGAAAGAGAATCCACACGGTCTGATATCAAATTCAACTCTATTCTTTTCTTGGATAAGAGACCCAGGTCTTTTTCTATGTTCATTTCGGATTTCTTCTTTGAGGCTCTCAGCATCCGGCTATATTTGGAGCTTTCTTAGTGAAGTCATGCTTTAATCTGTCTTTCAGTGGGTAATATTGCGCAACCTCTTACAATATCAAGTTAGCTTCAGCATCTGAAATCCCGTTACCTTCTAAAGCGTTTGAAATTAGCTCTCTGACAGCTAGATGTTTTGCTTCAGCGAGTGACACTCTCTTCTCATCTTTAGCGATCTTCCTATCATTTACAGTTAAACCAGGGGAAATAAAACTATGTAACGACTTGTTTTTAATGATTTTCCTTATTCTTAGGCTCTTTTTGACCATCACAAGTCTATTTCAGTCTGAAATTATCAACATCGTCATGGAGTTTAGATAAAGCGGCGGAGCACCTACAACATTTGCCAAAAACACTTTAAAAAATTCAAGATTTCCAATTCTAGTTCTAAATACATTCCTTTGAAATTGATTATTCCTCTATTTTAATCAGTTAAGAAGACAGTCATAGTAGAGACAATTACTTGTAGTTGTTTTCGTAAGAAAGCAGCTGATGTAGGATAATTTATCTCTCCCTTGATCAACACATCCTAAACGAATAGATGAATCTCCGACGAAAAGATCGAAATCTTTATCTATTAGATCAAATTTGATCATGTAACTACTGAATAAACTCAATCGTTTGATGGTATTCTAAATGTAAGTCAACTCCGGGAAGTGAAGACAGATCTCAATCTCGTAAAATCTTCGTCTTAAACGGATTGATAGTTACAGCTACGTTGCTCTGCTCGAGCCCGAGTCAAGTTCGAGTCACAAGTCAAGTATGAGTCAACTCAAGTTTTTTCCTTGTTTTGCTTTCAGTTTTTTTTTTGACTTCGTTAGATTTCTGTGTCAAAATGACGCACCAGGGATACAAGAAAATCCATTTTAAGCTTAAAGCTTTTGATCTTTTCATGGCCGCCAGCAAGGGTTAATCCTGCATTAGTCCGTTGCTGAGACCAAAGAAGTAAACATTATTCGGAATCTACGAGTTGTCCTTACAGATTCTAACCTCCGTTTATCGTACACAGATTCTGACCTCTTTTAATTACACACACCTGAGGCAGAAGTTCCATTTCAACGATCTCGACTGTCTAAATGGACTCCGAGTGTTAAAAAGAATCAGCATTTCTCGCACTCGACCGCCATTTTGTTGCTTCCAAATAAGACGTTGAAAATTTATACGAGTCCAATTTTTTTGGTAGTTAGAACATCAGTTGTAGTGCGTGTTAACAGACAATAACAGCCTTTGAAACGTTATGTTAACTTCATGACAATTCTGTAAGATGGTAACAGCGCTAAAGCAACAATTTACAGTGGGGGAATTTGGACGAACTCCGAACAAGCTTTTTCAAGGGTAGAAGGATAAAAAAACCTTGTAAAATGCACGGTATGATTTTTTTCTTTGTTTCAGTCGGTTACAGTAAAAGTGTATTGTCTATGAATATTACTTTGAAAAAAAAATTGAGTTGACTCGAATATTACTCGGGTTTATAGCGGAGACGAAGACCCCCCGAAAGCTAAGATCCAAGACACAAGACTCGAAAACGAGGACTCGAAAGCGAAGACCCCTTTATTTTCTTTATTTAACACGATCTCTTTAAGGGTTTTTGTTTTCATATTACCTACCAGGATTCGCACAATCTGACACAGGCTATAATCAATGACATGATCCATCGAGCTTTACTCTGAGGTCCGCCATCCTAGGTGCGATATCTTTTCCACCAGGCTTCGCTTGCCATCAATTCAGCAAGGAACAGTCCTATTACAGTACCACACAAAGATGAACGCCGTTTAAGAACTAACGAGGAAACCAAAATCCAACAGTCCTCACACGATTTCCATTGGCACTTTGTTGATTGGGAATACAAGTAAAACCGGTGTTCGAGAGCATGCTTAATCGCTATCAGAAAAATTAAAACCAGAGCTGGATATTTCTGACGAGAAACCAGATGATGTTAAAGTGGTGTAATGACATGAAGGAATTGTTTTAATGTTGATGTGTTGATTAAATTTGCCCTTTGCTTGGAACAGGATGCCAAGCACTGGTTGTTCGGTGCATTGTTCGATAGACCGGGGGTAGAGTTTACCGGAAACCTTTCTTACGTAATATCACTTCCTTACACTTTTTGAGATTGCAGTTCATCTGGTTGTTATCCGACCAGGCGAGGAACTGTCCAACTAAGTCGGTGTGACAATCTTTGTTCTTCCACATGGAAACTGGGATAATCAAGCCCTCTGCGTATTTCAAGTGGTCATTGACGGAAATGTTAAAGTGAAAAGGGCCACTAACGCCTCCCTGGCGGGTCCCTTTGTTAACTGATTTCTATTCCTCCGTGAGATTACTGTCAATGACCCTTTGTTGCCTACTTTCTAGAAAACTTATGTACTAGTTAATTATATGGGGTTCTAATGATAGCTGTTTCAGTTTGGTTGACAGATGGTCGTGCCTTACACTGTCAAATGCCTTACTAAAGTCCATCGCAAACAGTCGAACAGCGACACAGTTGGGGTCTTCAAGGTATTCATATCTAAAGTGCTGCATGGCTAACAAAGCATTTTTACGGCTTCCTCCTTGCCTATAGGCAAACTGGGTTGGGCTGAGGTTCTCTTCCACGGCATAACGTGCGTGGGTATTGTACACACACTTGTCAAAGGCACGCGCAATCACCGGAGCGATGTTGTTTCCCCTGTAGTCCGACATGTCTTTAGGGATGTCGACTTAAGGTATAGGGTTGACGTTAGCTCTTTCCCATGATGACGGCCAAATACTCGATTCTAGAGACACGTTCTAGATTTTGTGGATGATTGGAGTAAAAGTATCTGCGTTATCTCCCCATACCCAGGATGGTATACCGTCTGGATCAGTAGTTGTTCTCTTGAGATGTCTCAAACATTCCCACACTTGTCTTTCCGAGATTTGCGGAGCTTCCTCGCCATTAATGATTGTTACGGGGGGATGCTTATTGTATGATGAATCATAACATAGTTCAGCGAAGTAGTTGTTTAACGCTATGAGGGACTTTTTATCGAGCGTGACTTTCGCTGCGGAGCATCGATACCGTTCTGAAAGGCATACACCTGTTCACGTGCGTGTGAATCATAGTTTCTAGTTTATTCACTGTATCTTCTACATTGGTCTTGTTTAAGAATTCATCTCAACATTTGCTATCCAGCGTTCGATAAGAATTTTCTTTCCTTTTTTTTTGCAATCACGGATGCTCACAGTTTGACGAACTGGCTTAAGTTTTGTCCCTGCAGGCATGAAAACGGCTGTGTGTTCTGTTTGGTGGAGATGTTGTATGGGATGCATTTTCCAAACAAGCCCTCTGTCTCCAGAAGGACGATTTTATTTGGTTAAATCAGTTTGACTAATTTTCCATTGTAACCGATTGGATCAAATAGTTATACTATTTCAACTGGTTAGACCATTTTTCTAGTCTGACCATTTTCGCTGAGTCGATCATTTAACCAGTTGGACCACCTTTTCTATTTGGACCATTTCTACTAGTTGGCACACTTTCTTTAGTAGACCATTTAAGACTAGATGGACCACATCATGTAGTGAAACCATCTTAACTGGTTTGACTGGTTCGATCATTTTAACCAATTAAGCCATTTTCTCTAGTTAGACCACATGTACCAGTTGAAGCATTGGACCATTTCATCTGATAATGTCATATTAAGCGATCAGACAATTTTAAGCATTTGGACTATTTTCTCCAGATAGACAATTTCTATTTGATCTCTTTTTGAAGTTAGATCATTTTCACCGGTTGGACCTTTCAATTATTTTGATAAAGTGTTTCCACCACTTTATCTTTTTAGATCATTTTCACCAGTTCACCATATGTATTCTAGTTAAACAGGTTGGATCATTTTATTCAGTTGAAGTACTTTCTTCAAATAGACTATTTTACCATTTTAACCAGTTTGATAATTTTACTCAATTGGATTATTTAACCAGGTAAACCGTTTTATCAAGCTAGACCATTTTAAGTAGTTAAAAAAATTCTCGATGATTTTCACTGGTTGTACCGTTTTCATAGTTTTACCATGTTAACCAGTTGCATTTTGCAAACCAACGGAACCATTTCGTACAAAAGGTTGTGGTTGTTCATCGTGGTGAATAACAAAAAAAGCTAAGTTTTTTCGTTTGTCTCACGATGTAGTCACGTGTGATGTAGATCGCGACGTTTCGACTGCATACTGCTAGACTTCTTCAGGCTATGAGGTCGACTGGTCATGCGTGATCTTATAAAGCATGATGCTCTGTTGTGATTAGTTGTTTTCTTTTTTTTTTAACGGCTCTGATTGGTGCATTTCGATCCTTGCTGTTTACTCAGGGATTTGCTCCCTCGACGGTCCGCTGTCGTACGTCGCTCCTGTTGTTGTGTTTTTTGATCGTGGGCATCCACGCTTCTGGAATTTCTATTCCGCTGTCCCTGTTGATGTTGTTAGGGTGAATTGTCCCTGTTGATGTTGTTAGGGTGAATTGCCTCTTTGACCATGTGCATGTAGTAACAAGGGTCACGATCAATGAATTTTACTTCGTTCAAGAGTGGCTTGTGTCAGGTGTTGTGGGCAAGCTCTGAAAGGGCGGAGGTCTCGGTACGGGCGCGTCGAATGCCTCGATCGTGCTCCTTAATTCTGTCTTGCATAGGTCTTCCAGTTTCTCCGATGTACACCTCGCTGCATTCACAGGGAATCCTGTAAACTACGCCATCTTGTTTAGCCGGGTCGACAGCGTCTTTTGGTCGTACGAAAAGCAGTTAGACTGTTTTAATTAATAACAGTTCCAGTCAGAGCACTTGTACCAGTCGGACCTTTTTCTCTGGTGGATGATTCCGAGTAGTTCGATCATTCTGAAGTGTTCAAACATTTTATTTAGCTAGACCAATTGCAGAAGGGGGACCGTTTTATGTAATAA